CTCTCTCTCTCGCTGCAACTAAGACATCCACGCAACAGATGGACTCTCTCTCTCTCTCTCTCTCTCTCTCTCTCTCTCTCTCTCTCTCTCTCTCTCTGCAATTAACACAACTTTCTCTCTCTCTCTCTGCAACTAAGACATCCACGCAACAGACGGACTCTCTCTCTCTCTCTCTCTCTCTCTCTCTCTCTCTCTCTGTGTGTGTATGGGACAAACACACCCATACATAGACAGACACACAGACAGAAACTCTCCCCCCTGCGCCCTCTACCTCTATCGCTGCCTGGGAGATAGACCCAAACGTAGACAGACAGAGCTGCCTGCGAGATAGACACAAACGTAGACAGACAGAGCTGCCTGCGAGATAGACCCAAACGTAGACAGGCAGAGACAGATAGACACGCATAGGCAGACACGCATGCACACGCACACACACAGCCTGGGAGAAAGACCCACACATAGACAGACACAGATAGATAGACCCACACAGGCACACACACGCACGCACGCGCACACATAACCACACACAATCACACACACACACACACACACACACACACACACAGATCAACTAACCCCTAACACCCTTAAACCACACCTCGATGACATGTTCAGCCAGCCCCTCAGCCTAAGCATCCCTGTCAACTCCCATTCCTCCATTCCTACACCTTCCCCAGTCTGTTCCTTTCCACATCCTCACCATGTCACCGTCCACCATTACAACATCCCCACCATGTCACCGTCCACCGTTACGACAGATGCGCGAACAGATTTGAGTCACCTTGGTCTCAGTATAATTATAAAATCACGATCATAGAAAGGGCGTTTTACACATGCAGCAGCGACCAAAGCTTCTTTCTCCTGCACACGCATCAGGGCCAACCCCTTTCTCTTCTGAGCCACGAGCACGTCCTCAGGTCTTGAGAATACCCGCATTCGAGCGCTCAGACAGACCATTTTGATCAACGGACAGCAAACGGCTACATTCCACCGTCGCTCTTGCTGGGCTTTGCCTACCACTTAATCTTCTGAGCCACGAGCACGTCCATTGTGTTATTCAACATACTTATCAATCATTGGCAGCAGCCATGTGCTCTCTTATACAGCATCAGTGTGCGCCCCACTAACCCCCTACCCCCATCCTTTCTTCCCCTGCTCACGCCAATTACCACTGCCCTGCGCTCATCCTCGCATGATCCATTCATTTTCTACACATCATGTTCTTTCCCTATGTACAAAGATCGTCCATGTCAGCTTTGTCTTCTCCACGCCACATTATGTGTATGGTTTGGCCTGCCTTCCTCTATTTGCTCTCTCTCCTCCAGCTGGTTCCCCCAATACCTCTCGCTCACTCACTCTCTTTCTCCACTTTTTTTAACTGGTTATGAGGTTGCCTTCCTCGACAGATATGAATCCTCCTTACCTGGGTCTGCCAGAATGCTGATCACCCCGTGTAACACAGATACAAGAGCTCACTGTCACTCCTCGTCCTGCAATCAGGACTTATAGCAAAGCTTTTGCTTCACCATCACTACAGCACCCAGGAGACAGAAATAATGCTTTCACAGTCAAAGCAACCTAACATACTCTCTCCTCCTTCGGTGCCTAAGCCTCTCTCATTCCACCGAGGCGGTGGAGCGAGCTCAAGTCAAGCTCATGACAACTCACTGACTGCCTGACAGACACTTAATCGCCACAAAGATCTAGCCTAGCTTGATATTTTACCTCAGGCTATTGATAGACCCCAGCGTCACAAACCAGACCACCATCATAACCACCAAAGGCCCTCTTGACTCAATATTCCAAGAGCTCGCTTTTAACCGCCACAGTTCGACCCACAGTAAAAGATTTCTTTTCTCAGAGTGTGATCAAATGACCGAACTCAACAACAAAATGGAAGACTTTAAATGGTGCAGCCCCCTACGGCGAGGCTGTGAAAGAAGCTTACCAACAGCAGGCCTGCTTCCACCGAAGGAACGTTCTCTCTCGCTCTGCTTCCGCGCCAAGAAAGGAAGACTTTCAGTGGTGCAGCCCGCTTCCGCACCAGGAATGGAAGACTTTCAATAGTGCAGCCCTTAACGGCGAGAGGCTGTGAAAGAAGCTTGCTACTAGCAGGCCTGCTTTCACCGAAGGCACGTTCTCTCGCTCTTCTTCCGCACCAGGTAGCAACAACATTACTATCTGTCGGAGAACGTCGCTGGCAATGTCAGACCGGACGAAAGAAACAATAGCACGTAGATAGACTAAAATAAAGACGCTGATGGGCTCGTTGGAAAGACAAGGCTTATATCTCCAATACAAACAAGCAGGTCTCCCTCACATTAGTACCAACAATCCATGCCGTTCAGAAACTCCTCCCTGGGAAAGGAAAGAAGCACCCTTAGCACGTTGTCCTCCATGTCATGAATATTCGCGCACTGAAAAGACAAACGACCTATCAAGATCTACCTGATGGTGCAACAGGTTCATCATTCCCTATATGTACTGCCCCATATGCACCCCCCCTCACCACCCCGGCTTCTCACCCATAACACCCTCCTCTGTCCTTCTCTCATGGATGTTCACACAACCAACTCTTCCAATGAAAAGACAAACGACCTATAGAATTCTAACAGAGCGGATTGCATGATACGGTGCAAGAGGTTGCTTACCAACTCCATCTAGTTACTGCACTAGAATTCTAGTGCACCACCTTCACCCGTAAACACCTTCCGCCCGTTCTCTCTCACGGATGTCCTCGGCTTCCGTCGTCCGCCGCCCATCCACGCAGTTCTCCCCCTCCTAATCAACCGAGACTTGTGAAGACTCCTCGGCAAAGAGTCCATAAAAACAACTGAGCAAACAAAACAAGAAACGCTGCTGCTTTGTACAACACGAACTATGGAGAGCTGGAGGGAGGAGGCCGGAGGAGAACGCGCAATTGCATCTCAACTCGATGACTCACAACCACTACCCACTCTTCAGGACTTGCTGATTTCGTCAATCTTCTAGATCTCCAATCCTATAGTCATGTCAATCAGCGGGACTAACGTCTTGCTAGATTCCATTAAGGCATAACAGTGGCCTTTCAGCTGGACGTCACTCCAGAACGTGGTTTTCATTCCTCGGTCATCATTCTCCCTCCCTCAGACATGTCCACTGCCAGTTCCGTACCGCCATTTTCGATGCTGGGCCCTGCATGCTCTGCCTTCTCACCTGCCCACCTGTGACACACAAACGATCACACAAACCATCTATATACATCAGAACCAACCCCAAGCGAAAAAGCGTGACACACAAACGATCACAGAAACCAGACAAACCATCTATAGATCAGAACCAACCCCAAGCGAAAAAGCAAACATCGAACACGTCTATCCATGAATAGATCCACGTGCGAATCAACGGACCAGCGACTCCATGGACCAGAAGATTGCACGATCGGATGAACAAATCAAGGACTAGATAGAGGAAGACATTGAACGAAAAAAAAAAAACAATATAATGAGCCCATCGACCGATCCATGTAGGAATCGACCAATCAACTGTAACAAATAGCAATACCGACAGAGAGAGAGAGGGCAGATCAAAACGCAAATTTAACCAAGACAGACTTACTAGGTGCTCTATACGAGACCAGATTGGAGCATAAGATGGGATACACGCAGTGAACACATGAAACACAGCGGCACCAAAGGATGATACGAACCACGAGGGGAAGGCGGGAAACCAATGCAGCTGTGCCACTTCGGTTATGGGTGCTACTGCCAACTTTGTGAGATCGAAACTGCTGAACTCGGATAAAAGCGTTGTACTCACTTGGACATGCAGGCAGACAGAAAGCGGATCATGGTGCCAACGTCACTTGCAGAGGGAATCGAGCATGAGTGACTGGAATCACCCTCCTCTTCCACCTGCATCGGATCCCTCGTCTCTTCCGGGGACGTCCTTTCTTCAGAAACCAGTAGCTCTTCCAAGTGGCGAAGAAAAGTCGGATGGCTTTGAACCCGGACAGATACTCTGTCGTCTACCTCGGTGCTCACACATAGCACACGGAGAGCCTGCACAGGACAGTAAAAGACTAATACAGTGAGTCGACATAGTGCATGTAACCAATAAAACAGGGCTCAGAGCTCTTCACAGACACAATCATCCTATCTCAATGATCACACATCGCATCCTAAGATGCTCATCAATATCTGAACACCAGATACAGCAAATCACATGAACATAGAAGCGTGTTTCCAACTCTGCCAGCGTACTTCCACAGGATCACTAAAGGACTTCGACGACTCGCAACGGCTCCGTGTTGCAATGGCAATCACAGGTGGTCTGTAAGCGAAGGACACCCAACAGATTCACATGATTCCAACGTGGGACCATTAAAAGGACCATTGACATGGGAACATCACCAATGAATCGATATAGAGGATGACACGACAAAGACGAGCGAATATGAACACACTTTCATAACCATTAGCACTGTTGCAAACGAAGTAAAACAATCTGACCACGTACTGTGTGTGGTTGCAGGGACAGCTGGAATCAAGATGGACTACAACACCTGAATCAAGATGGACGACTCTGTCGCTCTCTGAGCCAGCTCCATGACAATCTCGTACCCTGCGACCTGGAGGCATTGTGTTCGTGGTTCGTTCCCTATTTCCTTTTCACCACAGAACAAAGCCAGTAGCTCCAATGCGGGCTGCACAACCACCACCAGGGACACGAAATGCGGGCATCCTTAGCACACGAAAACAAATCCAAACTCACTATTCCTTCACAATGACGGTCACACAGGGTCCCAAGCAACACAGATGGCAGAGTCCTTATTTCTTAGCTCATTACCAACGACTCCCTTAAACCACCACTACCTTTCCAAGCTGTAGTCCCATTTGGGGAAACGACCTCTTCCGAGAAAATCGGGGGTCCGGGGTAGGGTCGAAAGGGAAGAAAGAAAAAATATAAGATTGGCACCAAGCAGGGCCCTGACCTGGATAAGCCACTCTCACCGGACGAAATATGGGCAACCTTGCATGATACAGAGTACGAGAAGACAGGAATTCTGGATGCACTTCTGGGACCTCAAGTACGATCTGATGGAGTATATAACAGCTGTCCAGAAGGAAGGCACCTTTGTGGACATGATTGGTCAAGGAGCGACCACGCTCCTCTACAAAAAATCAAACAAGGAGTTTATCAGAAACTATAGATTTATCACTCTCCTCTCGGTCCCCTACAAACTGGCGGCCAAGGCACTCGCCATCCGCCTGTTGCCGTTCATGAACATGCTCATTCACCCCGATCAGACAGGGTTTGTGCCAAACCGCAATATCCAGGACATCATCCCCATGGTCAACGAGACCAAGTACGCACACCAGTGCAGGACCAAAGCGGCCATTCTGTTTTTAGACTTCAAGAGAGCGTATGACCACGTTGACTGGGACTTCCTGGATATGTGCCTGGCCAGAATGAACTTCGGTCCCGATTTTTGCCACTGGGTGCAGCTCCCTCATAGATCGGCCATTACAAACATAATGCTCAATGGCTACCTTTCATCCCCAATAACGCTGCAGAGGTCGGTACGTCACGGGGAGCCCATCGCGATGGCGCTGTTCGCAGACGAACTCACGGTCCTTATACGTGCAGACGCCAACAGCTTTCAGGCCCTAACCCAAATCATACACCTCTTCTCAACGGCGACCGACATGAAAGTGAATTGGGGCTCGAGGACAGAGGCCGGTGGCTCCACCCTTAAGACTCGTCGCCCACCGCCGGACCCATGTGTCTCATGGGCGAGAAAGGAAGACGCCATCAGGATCTTGGGAGTGAGGCTGACAGCAATGGGACCTCTGTCGGACCACAGGGACATCCTGGTGAACACGGCCATTGACCGTCTGGCAAGACGGGAAGGACTGCAAACATCGCTGCGATCAACAATCCTATTCTCGCCACCATATGGTACAAACTCGCAGTGTGGCCACAGACCACAGCAATATACAAGGCTTAGAAAGGCCCTCACAACGTATCTGTGAAAAATTAACAACAAATCAGAAGGCTTCATGAGCAGTGTGAGCTGGGACACCCTCACACAACCAAGAGCCAAAGGGTGGACAGGGGACACCGGACCCTGAAAGGGAGATTGAGGCCACGATTTTCAAGGTGGCACCAAAGGGGGACTGGGGACACCGGACCCTGAAAGGGAGAGTGAGGCCATGATTTAAGGTGCTAACCAGACTCCATGTAGGAAACGACATCCCATGGGGGCCCCTGGCCTGTGTGCAGATAGCCGGTCTGGCACCCGAATCTGTGCACCCTTTCCAATGGTTGACCAACAGCCACTGGATAATCCCGGGCCCCCGCCGACACAGGCATGCGACAGATGTGGCCATGACCCCCCCTCTGGCCAACCATGCTAAAAATGTGGAGGAAACGAGGTCCCAAACAAAACTGTCCACCCAATAGATAGCACTCCCATATGGAGACAGCCCCAATTCAGCAACCCTTTCATCCTGGACGAAGCTGGCAACCCATTCCTGATCACGGCTAATTCACCCAGGCTCAACTGGGCAAAGAAAAAACTCTACACGGTCGGTGATCTTTGGGACCCGGTCGAGCAGAATTGGGCCACACCGGAGCAGCTTCAGGCCAAGTTGAAGCACATAAGGAACGTGAACAAAAGGCCCGCCAAGTGATAGATGCTATCCCTCTAGCTTGGCGGCAAACCCTCAAGACCCGACAATTCGATCACAGCACTGGGTGGCTATGTACGTTGACCTGCCCACACCGGCGACTATTTACAGTGTGCACAATACTGAAGGTGGGGGCTTCACCCTGCATATTCCAAGAGTGCAGTTCTCTCAACTGGCCCAGAACGAAGCCGTGGGTGGTGCTGATGAATGTGAGATTGGTAGGCGACCAGGACAGCGCCAACCATGCATAACAGCCTGCCACACACATTGCCCGACTTCCCTTCGACCTGGATGACTGGGAATGGACAGGCCAACAAACCATGCACATCTGGGATTACACTGTCAAAGGGGGGTACAAAGCATCTCGCCCACAGAAGCAGATTGGACAGACGATTTCACAGCAACGGGAGCGAGATTCACCAGAGAATCCACAGCTGCTGAACAGCCTCCCTTCGGCCAAATATTCCAAAATAATGCCCACAAGCCTCAGGTCCCTCAAATGGCAAATCTTACACCGCTGTCTCTCCACCCCCGATTGGCTCGTCTCAAGAACAGACCTTGAACAGAAAGGCCTGCTGCCCCCCATATGCACCTACTGTGGCAGGGTGACACAGCCTTCCAGGGCAACACTCTAGCACTGCCTGCTGGCGTGCCCAATGGTTGCCCAAATATGGAGGTGGTGGGACGCAGCGTTCCATTCGCTCACCGGACCCCATTTGCCACTAACCTAGTCTCATACATGATGCTGCACGTCCTCATGCAAGCCTGGAGAGCCAGGTGCTCTTTTGAGAGAAAAGACCATCGGTTCGGTCTGCAGCAAGCACAACAGGTCATACAAGAAAAGATCAGGTCCCGTACACAACATGCCTGGAAGACTATGAACCAGGACTATCACGACGAAAGAGATCCCACTCTCAGGGAGGCTTCGCAGGAGTCCTACTGCCATATCTGGCAGGATCCGCACCCTGCCTTCTCCCAACTGCAAGATGGTCTCAACGTACGATGGAAAAACTGGACAGTGACGAACCCTCGTGGCAGAGGAGACCCTGGATGACTTTGCAGCCCCGTACCTCCCAACCAACTTCCTCTTGAGCCCTCAGAACCCCCATCACGCTATGGCCCCTGCCACCCCCCTGCCAGTAACTCCCTCCCGTCTCCCTCCCGCTAACCTCGCCACCATCTCCTTCGGGCCCACTTCCACTCCCTGATCCTCTACCATCCCGCCATCTCTACCACCACTGCAGATGAAGAGGACAACTGGACATCTCGAGGCCACCGAGGTGAACAAATGGTACGAGGACAAGAGAGTCGAATCACACGGGCCACGATGGCACACAAAAAAAAAAATTGCAAAAGCGGCATCCTTGACTCATTTATGAGCTCAGAGACTTCCGGCTGCCGGCTCTGTCCTGAGAGCACTCCTCGGACCATTCTCGACAGCACCTCAGAGAATGCATCTGACAGGTATCACAAAGTTAGGGAAGTTCCTTTTTTTCCTTTTTTTTTTCTTTTTTGGGTTCTCCTTCGGATGTAACTGGCGTGAATACCAGAAAAGAAATAACAATGGGACTCAGGCTCGGCAAAACTCAGTGCACAGTGAAATTCAAGGTTGGCAAGAACAGGGTCGGAACAGGATCGGAGGTGGTGGTGGTTTAATGTCAAATACCCTAAGGGTGCAGACCAGAACAACAAGTCTCACATATTACAGGAAAACGCAGCGGAAGGCTAAAATACCAATGATCAGACCAATCAATGTCGCAATGCAGACCAAACATACATCATCATCATCGCAAGGTGTGAAGRGGCCTGGCGCTACACACAGGAGGAATGCGCCAGGTCCAGATCATACATAGATGACGAGGAGGGGGATCAGACGAAGAGGAAGGGAGGGATGAGGATACATAGATGAAGAGGAGAGGGATCAAACGAAGAGGAAGGGAGGGATGAGGATATCGTCAACACCAAGTCTTCGATATAGATCCCAAATAATCCCCCATCCAATATCGCTGTCCCAAAGTCGAGTCTGTATCCAAATGTCGTCAACATCCCAAAGTCACAAATCTCTCTCTCTCTCCCTCTCTCGTGGTCTGCCGATACTGAGGAGTCAGGTAGCTGGAGGGGGAGGGAGAGATGGTGGACTGGAAGAAGAACTCTCTTTCTCCTGGTGCCCGGTACTAACCTGTGAAAGGTGGCACCTTGCTGCAGGTACCTCAAGACGAGGCTGGAGCGATGGCCTCACAGGTAAGCTCCCTGGCCTCCGCCACTCTCCTCCCTCTCTAACGCTACTCTAAGCGCCCAGCGCTGAAGACTACTCCTACCTACTACTAGTGCAGCGCTCTGTAGAGTGCTGCTGCCGAATCCTGAATACTACCTCCTGAACTGCCTGCCCCCTCCCGGTCGGACCAGTACTAAGTAGTGCTGGTCCGGCTGGGAGGCCGCTGTTGCCAATGCCCAATCGTGCCAGACCCTGGCGCCCAAGTTCAAAAAAAGGTCGTCTTGAAACGGGCCTAAAAATGGCCTGCGCTTATCCCTGGTCTGGCGCCTAAGTTTCAGGAAAGCTGGACTTCAAGAGGGCCTAACATTGGCCCTCCTTTCCTTTTTAGGCTGAAACGACACAGGGCCTGGAGGTGTGGTGCGGAGTATGCCACATTTAAGGAATCGTTACTTCTTAGCTAGTGATACCTGTGGACCGCAAAAACGTAATCACCGCACGGAGACAACTCTGCAACATCAACCCGCACTATAACTTGAGTCCGGACCTGATCTGCCGAGCCTAGCGAGGCTAGGTAACGCCGATGATGATACTTCAGTGCTGTCCTTTTGAAAAAGCGCACACACACACACAAACACACACCCTGGGCCTAAAGCCTTTTTTTTGGTTTTCAATTGCTGACGAAACCCCTCCATCCTAACCTCATTTTTCCCTCGCACACACCCCACTACCGGACAATGGGCGCCGGGACCGGCGAAAGGCAGACAACCCTCCCAGCCCTGGCTAAGGCCACATCAGACGAACATTGTAGCAAGGGCACTTCGAACAAAAGGCATGATCATTGGTGTACCTGCCCGATGAGCTAAGGCTCGGACCCCACCGCCCGACGGCTGGAAAAGTTCTGGCATGGAAGGGCGTTTTCGTACCCCACCGGGCCGCCAGGAAGTTTCCCAGAGGTCTGGCGACGTCTACTTCAGACCCCACAGCCGTTTCCAAAACACCGCCAGCCGTGTTTCTACACGGCTGGCAGATGGAAAAGTCTCCGCCCGCGGCCGGCGCTCTTTTCCAAAACGCCCTCCAACAGGGTAGGGAGGGCAAAGCGCCAGCCGTTGGCATCGGACGCCAGCGAAGAGTGGTGCAGTGAACGGGTGTCACGCACATACGTTTGGTCCAGGCCGGATCAGCACAAGCCAACCCGAAAGGCTAGCATGCAGGCCGTCCGTGCTTTCCTTTTCGGGAGGGGACCCTCTCGGGTTTCCTAAAACGGCAAGCGAGGCCGTTTCCAAAACACCGCCAGAAGTCGGCGGTGGGGTCTGCACGAATCGTGCCAAAAAGTTTCCACCGACGTTGGCCAGAAACCGGCGGCCAACTTCCTTTTCCAGCCGCTGGGCGGTGGGGTCCGAGCCTAAGTCGTGATAGCAGACAGAGTATCGTGCCTAGAGCACGCTTGCTCGACTATTCCAGGCAGCAGTGGTTTGATGTCGGCAAAGAAGCACAGCCAAAACAGAACTAAGGCGCACAGACAACTTCAGGAGAAGGAGCTTGGTGAATAGATGGATGCGGATCACTGAGATACTCACCACAAGGAGCTCCTCCGTCTTCGCTCGCCTAAGTAATGACAGCAATGGCACTACAGCTTGCTGCTCAAACATGGCCTTCCGTGTGGCGCCATCCAAGTCCACGAGAGAGGCCAGCGACGCCAGAGCCTGCATCACAGCAACAAGAAGAAAATCGTTCGCAGGACGTTCCGACAGCAGTATAAGAACCCAAAACCAAAAAGCGGAGAAACACACGCCGCACCAACTCAACTGCTGTGCAGACAGGCCATCATCACATGATATTCTTTCAGTTAAGCAACATCCCACCAACTACAAGTTCGTGGCCTGGGCGCACCACTCACCAGATGTGCAAAATGGAGAATAACTTTCACGCTAGAACGTGGAGAGATGAACCCACCATAGTTTGTCTTCTCGCATTTGGGGAGTGGTGCGGCGAGGACCTTAGTCATTGCTGATCAGAGTTAGGGTGGCATCCTCGCACAAACACGCACTATATAACGCCACTTGAGAACTTCCACTTCTGACTCTACACAACTCACCAAAATGTGCAAACTGAGAACGAATCTTCGGCCAGAACCAGGAAAGATGCACCGCCGTAATTTCTGTCTTTTGTGCATTTGGTGAGCGGTGCGGCGACGTCACCACCCATCAATTCTCGGGAAAACCCCTTTTTCTCTCCTCAGCTTCAGAGGGCGTAGCATGCCGACTAAATAAAACAGGTAGTGCACAGTATTCGACAAAAAAACATCATCGACAGAGATATCTTCACAAAAATACACCTGCCACCTTCATTAATTGAAGCCACCTGCATTGTATGACCCGAGCATTTTCTCCTGGAAATCACAGAACCGAAAATGACCGTTGCATTTACATTTAAGCAAGCACCTTCTAAATGACAGATGCGAAGTGGACCATACAAAGAAAAAGCATAAAGCATTGTCTTTAAATGATCACAGGAGGAAGAATGACCAGAAGGCATGAAATTCACTTCCCAGGGCAACCAGAACACATCTCAAGGGCAACAGAAAAAAACATCAGCAGATCGCAGGAAGCCCCCCCCCTCACCTTGTGCGCAACCCTCTTGCTCGTCCTCCTGCTGCCTATCCAGCTCAGAACTTTTCCAACCGCACCCATACGGAGTAGCTCTGCAGGAATGGCTGCGAAACGGAACAACAAGTCAAAATGCTCCACGGTCAGTCGATCGGAAGATGGTTCTATTGTGATCTGCCATCAGGAGAGGAGAACCATCGTAGAGGAAAAGACATTTCCATGGGCAACAGGTCGCAGAGAAGTGAAGAGGACCGAAAGAAACAGAGATCGGGCGCAACAACTGCCTGGGACAGATGCTCCGATTTCCAAAAGAGGCACAATAGATTAGACCGGCATTACAGCAACCACAACAACTGCCTGGAAGAGCTGCTCAACTTCCGAAAAAGGCATAAGGGATTAGACCTGCCTTACGGCAACCACAACTAAAAAAGAAGAACAATAAAAAGAACGAAAAAAAGAACAAAAAAAAGAACAAAAAAAGAACCACGAAGAAAGACGCTGGCAGTGGAACGAAGAAAGTTACTGGACGCCAGTGACAGAAAGCAGGAGACAAAAAAAGATAGTCAGTCAGACAATCTGGGAGGCTATATCTGAATTGCAGACAGACGGACACGGACTGACAAGCAGAGAGACAGATTGATATAAGCATGCAAACACCAATGGAAATGTCTTTTCCTCTTCGGGCAGACTGAGAAAGACAAACCAACAGACTTGCATACACGCAGAGACCAACTCCGGATTGACAGCCCATGCGGAGCGTGCACAGCAATTGACCGGAAAAAGAGTAGGTGAACGTGGGGCGTTGCATTGGACGGTGGATAAGGCATACTGCATTTGTTGACGCCCATCACGAAAACAAATCAATTGAACTAATGTAACAAAATCATTTCAAAAACATCAACAAAGGAACGAACCTGCAAGCTTCGACTCGCAGAGGCACAGAAGGGCAGTAAGGCAAATGTTCTGTTGGGGCTCCTCCACCTGCACAACCATTACAATACCAGGAGTAACACTTCAGTAAACAAGGGCATCTGACAACCCACCACCCATTCCACTGCCTTAACAATCAAATCAACAATCTCATCAAATAATAAATCTCATCCTAGATAAAGGACTACCGTCTTGCATCCGACGACCCACCACTCATTCCACTGCTTAATCTCATCAACAATCTGATCAACAATATAATGAGACGAAGGACTACCGTCTTGCAACGAATAGAACGTATGGTCGTCATAGCTCTATTTGGGGCAACATTCAGTCTAGATACAGTGATAATGACCGTACGTTCTCTATTCTGGGGAAGAGGATACACATCACACCATTGTGTYCKAMTCGSCAACCCTGCAGTCGAGAGCGAAGCACGATACTAGACACGTCAACCACAGTAAAAGCCAAAAAACTTCAGTAATGTTGGTCGGCCGCAACACCATTGTGTTTTAATCGGCAACTCTGCAGTCGAGAGCAAAGCACGACACTAGACACGTCAACCACAGTAAAAGCCAAAAAACTTCAGTAATGTTGGTCAGCTGCGGCCAAGTACCGTGTAGCATAAAAACATTAAGCAGCGATTTCATTCAATTCATTTTTTCTCCAGTGCCCTCAACAGGCAACCGAGGCCTCTACAATGTGGCTTTCAAGGCCACTGAGGCACGGTAGGCAAGTCACTCAATTTCCATTCTATATCAGCGTACTAGAGATCACATTCCCTGTGTTTACACAAAAAACAAAAAACTCAATCGAAATGCCTCTTAAATAAAAGTATGTCGGCTTTAAAAAAAAAGAAAACAAAATTTCAGCGTTAACAATATGACTCATATAAAAAGCTTAAACCGCCAGTTCATCCAAGGAACTAAGAGCTACCTTCTTCCCCTGAATACAACGTACGGTCATTATAGCTGTATTTAGACGGAAAGATAGCCCAAATACAGCTAGAATGACCGTACGTTGTATTCGGGGGAAGAAGGTAGCTCGCTGGGTACACCCGTGAATGTTGGAATGCAGACCTGCATTGGAATCCAGATCATGGTACACGAGTGAAACCAAATATTTCTGAATTGCCTGGGGCCGGTCAGCTCAATGATGATATCTCAAGGCTGTCGTCCTTAATTAACGAAAAAATAAAAGATAAAAACAACTAAACATTACCAAAATCGGTCTCATTAAGAGAGCTACACGAATTTAAATTTCAGAAGTCCCAAAAAAAAATAAAAAATCGGAAGGACAAGACATAGGGACGATGAGACTGAGACCTCACCGCTTCCCCGAACATCATGGCGATCTTCCGCAGTCCCCCGAGTCTGAGAACTTCAGCATGGACGTCCGGACAGTGACGCAGCAGATTCACCAGCACTAGCAGAGCGTTAAAACGCACAGAGCTACTGGCAGCCGAGAGAAGCGTAATAAGCCTGACAACGCCAGTCTTATTCGTCATCTGCAAAAGAAGATAAACACCCCCCCAGAAGACAAAAAATCAATACCCGGAAGACAAAAAATTCAACACTCGAAATCCACCTTGTACAGTATTTTACTTAATATACGACTTCGGCTGTATTTTCTGAGGCCAATAAATTTGTTACTTAAATAAGACTTCGGCTGTATTTTCTGAGGACATACATACTCACACTATTAACTTTTTCTCCCAAAGCTCTGGACGAGTTTTAAAGTTAGACTCGTCCACGTCTGGCCGTAATCGTAGTCAGATGCATTTTGGGAAATGTTAGCGTGATTATGCCCTGATTTTCCCGTTCTACTTTCTCTGTTTCTTAACATACAACATCCTGGAGACCGTGGTTATATTCCGTTATAAAACAGACACCCTCAACATCCTACGGGCGTAGCCAAACCAGTCCAAAAAAGAAAAGTGCAAGTGTATGTTTCCACAGAGAGTGGCAAGATGCATCCGTGACTCTTAGTAATAAGTAACGGACGCATCTGTCCGCATGCACTAGTACTTTTTTGGTTTCGCCGGTAGTGTGGCGTTGCACAATGTACATAGGATTTCGCCATGGCCACACCACTGTCTACACGAAAAAAGTGCAAGTGAATGTTTCCGCAGAGAGTGGCAAGATGCATCCGTTACTATGCGTAGAAACAGACGCATCTGTTCACTTTCTGAGGAATATGCACTCGTGACTCGCACGTTTTTGGTTTCGACGGTGCTGTGGCGTTCCATGTACATATGACTTCGTCTGCTATCAATGATACGCTTTCTGCGATACGACTCCGTCCGTGATTTTCCAGCGTCGTTCTGTTTGCACCAGTAGCTGACGACGGCCAAAGCCGTCAGCGAGGCCCAATACTGGCAATCCCTTCACTCTATTCCAAATCCAGATGCTCAAATGAAGGTAGAGCTACCCACTTTGAACGACTGCACGACGAGAATTACTACTCACCAACGGGCCTAGCTCAGCTGCTACACCCTTTCAAAAAAGACACTGTAGAAATACAGACCCAAGTTCGAATCCGGATGCAGTCAGATCAACAAAATAACATACCCAGGTCAGTTCAATGGTGATATGTCAATGTCGTAAGACTCGTAACCCTTTCCCAAAAAAAAAAAAATTACCCGCGATCAGCCTCACCAAGAAACACAGCTGCAAAAAAGGGGACGGAGGAGGAAAGCGAGAGTAGGATCGGATTAATCCTCCGCCACATCCCTTCGACCTGTCATGGCATATCAATACACTATGTTAACATGTATAGACCTAACCAGTCAACCCCTCATCTGCTGACGAAATGATTACGTCTGTGTGCCACAACCCCATACCCCAACAAGTGTATAGAAGTAGCTGCGATTCTTTAACGTCCAGTCGAAGGTGGCTGTTTGCGTCATTTCCCGACGAGCAAATAAATCACCTCCACCACCTACACTTGAGAGATTAACCCCTCCCCCCCTTCCACACACACACTACACTCGTTAGCTTAATCGCAAAGTCACCTCCATACTTCAAAGACCAACTGCCGATGTCTAATCGAATAGATTAATATTATGCGTATACTCCTTCCACTTGCCTGTATACGACCTCACGGTCCTACATACATTAGCATACCGAGCAGCGTCTGCCTCTCCTTTACTCCCTTCCAGCCTCCACGATAACTTTCCTCTACGCCTAGATACGACCCGTTAAAAACTCCACCTCAAAGTACCACGACTGAATCTCTCTCTCTCTCTCTCCCCCGAAACCACTTGACCATCCGCTTCATACCGATCAACAATGAGACAAACACATCGACCTCCACATCCCCCTTTCCTGCACAGCTCTGGCTGCCCATCTGTCAGTCAATGACTGTACCTCACATGCGGTTCTCTCTCTCTCTCTCTCTCTCTCTCTCTCTCTCTCTCTCTCTCTCCCCCGCAACCAATTGACCATCCACTTCATGCCAATCAATAATGAGGCAAACACATCGACCTCCACGTCCCCCTACTCTGCACAGCTCTGGCTGCCCATCTGTCAGTCAATGACTGTACCTCAGATGCGGTTCTCTCTCTCTCTCTCTCTCATCCTCTCTCTCACACACACTCACACACACGCATACACAGGGAAGTAAAAAGTTCGGAGGTCTCGGTCAGACTTTGCCATGGTACATTTCAGTCCATTAGAACCTGTGCATTCCAGCATCGCCTCCTTTAATGGCACCAGCTTTCGCCACCTCAAAGATTTGTGCAAATTAATTGGTAACTGCCGAACTTCGCCATTGTGCGCCCGCTTCACTCTTCTTTAACGAAAATCTGTCTACATATGACAACCATGAACCAAGTATTACGCTAGCACTCGCAAGAGAAGTAGATATCAACCAGTCAAATATTGATAACCGTGTCACCTGGCTACAAGCCATGCAATACTACATCCTAATGAATTCATACGCATTTCGCCATTGCTGAAAGAGTCAATGACATCGTTTCTCCAAAATGCACGATGATTCAACCTTTCACCAAACACCAACAACCTACGAATGTCTCCCCTAATACAACTTCCTGTACGAGGACACGAGAGTACACCTGCTCGTTTGTTCTCCTCTTCTTCCTCTCTGCCTACGATTCACCGGGCAGTTGTCTGTGACCATACATTGTCACACTATGAATCGGAGCGCAAAGGCGGAAAAAGACAAAACAAGGAAAACGAAAGAAAGGAAGAAAAGGCCCACCTGTTCATCACCTCTTACGTACAAGGCCAGCCACGTAAACGACAGATTGAGCGCTGGCTGCCCCCATCCCCGCGCGTCGCAAGGACCCACTTGCACGCAGCCAAAAGGCAACTGACCATATATATATCGACATAGTTCTCTTTTCTCCCTTTCTGCCTACGGTTCACCGGGCACTCAGCAGCAACCACAGAAACCTCAGACACAAAAGAAGCACGTAGATAGCGCAGCTATATTACTGCTTTGGCTAACCATCCCAAAAAACGAAGCATCAAAGATTAAGTATCGAACCCAACGCCATCGACAGTGGCATGCATGACGGCATATCCAGAACACACAGAAGAAGGGGACGTCAAATGAAAAGAATACAGATCATAGAGGGACAAAATGAATGATCCATTCAATTCAAACGAGAGTCAAACAATAGCCTGTGTATAAAGCTTCCCCCCCCCCCGCCCCCCCGCCACCTTAATGTTTCTCAAAGTGGCCCCCATAATAAGCCTCCACGCCTCTTCTCAGAAGAGAGCTACGCTTCTGCCGATTTTCATCGCATCATCAGGCACACGTCCTCAGGACCAAGCAACACATAGCAATGCTCAGCAGCCACAGACTTCGAAAAGAGCTCCACGTAGCCCATTTCCGCCAGCTCCTTTTAATTTTCCACAATTTGGAAGGGAGGATACGTATTCAGATCAACGACAGGCCCCACTTTCCCTCGGATACAACGCACGCCAACTGCGAGTGAATGTACAACATCTCTCTTTCCGGTCCGATGAAGGTGCATTGTGTTCGAGGAAAGACGGTAGACTTGATACGTATAACATATAGATATATGTATCTATTCATCTGAGAGTAAACATCATTATTAGGAGACGCAAGTACTCACCCGGGTCCGCAGAGCTTCGGCATTGCTGGACGTCCCCGCTGTGAGGAGAGCAAGGAAGTAAGTGGCGCCAGCAGAGACCCGCGTCCCTGTCGAAGGAGAGCTGAGGACGGACATTAGGAGATCGTATAATTGAGGGTTGTACAGCGAAGCCAGCTCTTCCGCCAAAGCCATCCTCTCCTCAGAATAATGCTCTGCATCGCCACCTCCGTCTTCATCAGCTTCTGGATCTTTCTCCTGTGAAAACCGCAACCAGACTGTTAATCAACCCACACTCGGACCACAAAGTGAAAACCGAAACACAACTCTAAAGTGAGAAAGACAAACTTTGGTGCGTGTATCTTTCCTCGTATTGCAGCGGAGGATACATTCTACGGCTCAGACAAAAACATGGTGCGTGCATCTTTCCTCGTATTGGAGCGAAGGATGCATTCTACGGCTCACGAATTTTGAGTAGCATGGCGAGACCCAATTCCTGACATCACATAGAACCTCCAAACCTATTTCCGGTTCTTCAGAATCGTCCCCATCATCACGTCATACCAACGGCGTAAAATCACACTAGGATTCCCGGATGCAGCTGGGTGCAGTTGCAGCCGGACCAGGACGCATCTGACCGTAATTACGTCCAGAGCTCAGGCACGAAAATCCAAATGTGAGTATGCCCTGAGCGATCGCACAGCCAGGAGAGCATTTATCTGACAAACGGACGGAAACGGATGGAAAGAGCTCTCGAAGAATCCTTTTCCACTTTCATGATTCCTTTCTCGTTTTCCACGATCTACCCGGGCTACGAGCCCGCCCGCCCGGTTCACGTTGGTGGTTGCCCGGGTGGTCCGGCCGGGCAAGGGCGAAGGAAGGTCCCTGCAAAAGAACAACAAAAAAAATTGAAGAAACACTACGTTATGCAGAAAATAACAGGACAACTTTTGCCTCGGGCAAATCGATATTCCTTACTAAGTTACAATTAAAAATCAAAATTAATTTATTTTATTTTTCTTCTTGGGTCCGGCAGGGCAAGTGGGAATGGGCCACTCCGGTAGCCTAGCTTTTTACTGTTTTACGTACTCTACTGAAACAGATTTTCCAACCTCCAAACCATTTGCAAAACCACAGACGTCGCAAGAGGCAGTGTTTGAAAACTACTCTTCGTTTGCTTTTCATCGTTTCTTTTTTTTTTCATAATATTTTCCCACGTGTTCAACAACATCCAAAGCCTTTGCAGAACCACTTCAGTAAAAGGACATTAAAGGCCTTTGAAAACAATTAGGGAGCTGCAGTCGGCCATTACGGAATCGAAGATATCTCACAGGGGCACCAAACAAGAGCGAGAGCCCACACAGGAGAGGCTACCCCGAAACAGCAGGCCTTCCTCCGTCTTTGGCTAGTCGAACGAAAATGTAAATACTTATTTTAGCATGACTGAATCACAATTTAATGCAAGATATACCATTGAATACGGAGAAGGAACAGTTCTATACGCTACAAGTTAAACGTGAAGTCCAGTACTATTGAGCCATACAACAACCACATAAGGAGGTCAATCGTTGGTTACCTGAATGAGATCGACAGCGCGACGCACAAGCTTGCGTAATATCTCTTCTACAGACGCCGACCGAAACTTGAATTTGTGATTACACACGAACTCCACCAACTCTGCTGTTGAGAGGTGGTGGAGCCCATCTTCCATACGATAGGCCAGCGAAGCGACCAGCGATAATTGCAAGACGCCAAGTGTCGGATTCTTCACAACGAAACTTCTTTTCCTCGTCTTCTAAGACGTCTGTCAAAAATTGTCAAAAAGTTCCTGCACCACAGGACCACAAGATTGTATTAGCAATTGCTCACGGAAACCTTCGGTTACCCCACCTCCCTCTCTCTCTCTCTCTCTCTCTCTATTTTGCGTGCGTGCGTGCGTGCGCGCGTGCTACCACAGATAATGTCACCACAGCTTGCCAATACACATCTGCATCCTTTCGAGAATTTCGGAGTCACAGTGAAGAAATACCTCCCCCACTTTCTCGACCAAACACAGAGTCGGACACATTCATAACTTGTCTCGCCATCTTCATTTACCCACTTTTTCCCTCCTCTTTTCCCTCCCTCTCCTCGCTGCCCCACCAGGTTGCTACTTCCCCTTCTCTCTTCTGCCACTTATCTTTCCTTCACATCGGTATTGCACTTCTCTCCGGAGACGGTTGCTCTTCCTACACCCCGTCTATCCGTCATCATCCTCCCCTCCTCACTCCATTACCCCATTCTCCCCTCCCCCTCCACTTCTGCTCCCTCTCACCTTTCTCCGCCGTGTCTTTTCACCCGCCTTCTCACACCCTTCCCTTTGTTGAGCACTACGCCTTCTCTCTCTCTCTCTCTCTCTCTCTCTCTCTCTCTCTCTCTCTCTCTCTCCCCCCATCGCTATTACCCTTGTCTTTTACTGAACTCTGCCGTCTCTCTAGCTCCACATCGCTAACCTCCCCGTATACATCCTGTGTCCGTCCGACATCTTCCTCCACCTTCAGCCCTAACACTGTGTTCCTCCTACTACCTCACTCCCTGTGCTTCGTCACTTTGCCAACCGCCATGCACTCTTCCCTTTTTCATACTCTTCCCCCACCCCACTCCTCCCTATTAGGGGACCTCTATGCTCCACCTTTTCGCACTTCTAATCGCCTACCTCTTCACCCTCCTCCATCTTCCTTCTCCTTCTCGCCTTGCTGTCTCCACAGGCTATTCTCTCGCCCGAACCAAATTTCTTCCCACACTTCTTTATCCTACTGAACAACCTACCTCTCCCTAATTATCCCTATCGCCTTCCCTTTCGCGATTTCACTTTTCGCCTCTTTATGTACGTGTTAGTCCCTCTTTGATAACGACAATCACCTCTTTCCTAGACGTTCCCGTTGCCACTGAACGCCGACAACAAATCACTCCCTCACGCTGGTCTGTCCTGTCCATCCTCGGTCATTTAGCACAAAACCAATTAGGCAGAGGAATCTAACGACAGCGGCGGTCCCTTCTATCCACACCCCTAGCCACAGCTCCACAGGTTAAAATTAGTACGTCAGTCACCAATAATGACGATGAAGTTGCTGATGGAAGACATTGCCCACCACGCTCGCAGCATAAGAACGCACGATGACAACGGCGTGCGACCATGTCTCCACTTTTCCGCCTGGCACACACAGCGGAATCCCATCCCAACTTGCTCTCCTTTCGAAGAGCGAGTGGAAAACGAAAAAGCAGCGCGAGATTTCTTCTGGGACATGGTTCCAAGTGGAGATGCTGCGCTTCGGCACGACATAATTTCTTGTAATTCGACACTAAATTGTACCATCGTAGCTGCGACTCGTTCAAAACCCTAACCAGGCCGGAGAATCCACCTCCACTTAGTCACATGACAGGAAGGACAAATCCAATCTCCACCTCATCATCTTCGGCTGTTGCTCTTCGGGAAGGAAGAGATGACCTCAGAGTCCGAGGCTTTACAACGATGGGCAGCATCTGCGCGATCGACCTTCGGCAGCAAATTAGTACAATCACCTTCTGATATCCCTTACGCAGTATATTTTAATCACCGTAAAGAAATCAGGGAATACTGCTGTACCTTGCGACGATGGCGCAGATAATGTTCCTCCTCCGACGCAAAGATGATTCCGCCGTCTTCGTCCAGCTCAGATTCTACAGACACTGCTATACTTAACAGCTAGATCAATAAGAGAGAGAGAGAGAAACCAAATTATACAGAGAGAGACAGACTGCAAGCAACACGAATAGACTGAGAAATTGGGGGGAAGGTTGTGTAAAGAAGAACGGATGAATGCGCAGGGAAACGAGAGCATCAAAGACGAATTATGCACAGATTGCACAGGGTTGTTTACCTTAGGTGAGCCAAGGACAAAGGTGCTGATGGCAAGGCCGACGATAACGTCAACGCGACAGGAAAGACAAGCGTTCGGACACTTGTGACCGATCACGCAAAGGAGGACAAGACGGCGACGACGATTACGATGCTGGTGCTTGGTGACAGTGACAAGAAGGAATGTTCTTCGGCAAGGGACGGGGACCAAGAAAGGTTGAAGTAGGTATGGAAGCAGCAAAGTCGAGCCCAGCAGGAAGGCACAGGGGTATAAAAAAAGTGATGGCTTATACAACGCGACGATTGTACGACTCTCAAGGGTCGATCATCTGTTGAGATTGCATACACCACGGTAGCGTGCTAGTCTACTTTGTTCCCTCTTTCGACTTATTTGAAACTGATTAGGCCGTCAACTTATAGATTCGAGGAGGAAGGAAAGGTAAGAGAGAAGTGAGCTAGGAAGAGTAAGTAGAGTGAGTTCAACTCTCATTCGCCGCCTACCTTTACCGGCTTCCGCACACACACGCTCCGATCCGTGACCCGCCCGCGTCTCAACGGTCTCTCTCACGTCTCTCAATACCCAACGGACAACAGACTACCACTTAGTGACCGACGAACCCAAAGATTGGCGACCGATCAAACGGACGACTCGACATAACAATCAGCCCGTTCGTTTCTTCGTTCCCGCGCACGGCCGAAAATTTTTTTGACTCGGCTGGCTCTCTCCCCGCGCTTCCTCCTCCCACATTAGCAACAGCTGCATAAAGCTTTTTCCCCGTTCATGGCTGCATCCTTTTCGGGGGTAAGCAATATTTTTTCGAAGAAAATGCGGGAAAAAAGAAAAAACGAGTGACATACGCGAGTGCTAAGGGGTAGGTAGGTATAGGTCGATCGCAGAATCAACGAAAGAAACGAAAGAAATGGAAAAGGGAAATACCTGAGTCGTCAGGGTCCAAGTCCAGACAATCAGCGGCCGCGATGGCCGTGCAGTACGTGTGGTGGGACACACACAGACCGACAAATGGAACGCGAGCGCGCGTCCGTCCGCCCGCCCGCCAGGCTCGGGCCCGGCTCGGCACCTGTATGTATCTGGCTCCTTTTCTGGGCGTGGTTGCGGCGCTCGTCGTCAGCAAACGCACACTCGGCCTCAAGGTAGTGACCTCATCAACGGTCCGTGTCGAACAACGGCGCACTCGGCCTCAAGGTAGTGACTTCATCGACCGCCCGCGCGCATTGCGGATCCGCGTCGAGGTGCAGGATAAGAGGGAAGACGCCAATTCTCGCTGCGCAGTCTGCACCGTCTGCACCGGGCGGGGGTGTGCTCAGCGCGGAAGAGACGTTGTAGTGTCCGTACCTCACAGGCGCGCCGGAAGGAAGTTGACCTGAGCTGATAACAGCACCTGCAATGATTCGGGTCGAATTTATTTAACTGTGTACGCCCCGCCGACGTTGTAAAACCTGTGCGCGCCCAAGCCAGGGCGGGCGCGAACGACGCCCCGCCTAAAACCAGGGCTACCGTTTTCCCCCGAACACAACGCACCCTCTTTTTTTTTTTATTTTTTTTTTCGCACCCTCATTTTCATTGTATCGGGATGGAAATATACCTTGTATACGTTTTCCTTTTCAGGGTGCGTTATGTTCGGGGGAAGATGGTAGGGACGCCCCGCCTAAACTATAGGGTAACCAGTGCGAGAAAGGACGTCGCTACCGGTCGCAGTCCAATTCGCTACCGGTACGCTCCTTCTAGAAGGTGCGCAGAGGTACGACGGCTACTCTGCTACCGGTAGGTTGTTTCTCGAAGGTCCGCGAAAGTACGGCAACGTCTGACTGATCGGATCCTGCACTGGCATCGACCGGAGTATCGCGGTGTTATAGGGAACAGGCAGCAATGTTTGTCGGTAGTATATTCATGCTTGGAAATCATGAACCGAGAGACAGTTCCGGACTAGGTTCGTGCTTCACAGCCGGAACATAGGAACAGTGCGGCCTGCCTCTTTAGTCAAGAGTTGCTACAGTAGTTATTGGGAGACAGCGTATGCTCACAACATTGGGACTTTCGTTGCATTCACCACCTGACAATCTCGTCCCGATTCGTTTCAAAGTGTAATTAACCGACCACAGCAATCTCGTCCCGATTCGTTTCAAAGTGTAATTAACCGACCACAGCAATCCCGTCCCAGTTCGTTTCAAACGGTAAGTAATGGAGCATTCCCTCAACTCTGGGACAAGGTCCCATCTAACTTAACGAGATTCTGTGTTTGTGGCCGTCGATGCTCTGAATCTGACCGTCCAGAGCGAAGAATCAAGGCAAATGGGGCCTCACTCCTATCGAGTACGCTCGCTACTGTAGGGTTGGCTTCGACTGAGGGCATATTCGAACTAGGACTCGGACTTTTCTACTGCGATCTGGAAGTAACTTCGATAAGATTCATCCACATTCGGCTGTAATTGCGCCAGATACATCTAGTCTAGGAAGTCCTAGTGTGAGCATATGCGCTGAGTGGAGCTCCGTTGAGCCACGAAAGATGGGGTCGGTTGAGCACGCGACGACAAAATAGGCAGGGAAGCCAACATCGAGACCCCGTCCAGCCGGACAAGGGAGATGAACCGCGGCGGCGAATCATGGAGGCTGATTCGATACTCTGTGGCTACGGGCTACTCTCTTATTTCGGGCTTTCGAGTATGAGCTCGTTTGTGGGAAGCCGCACGCAGCCTCGGATTCCTGTGATCCACTGTTCATGGGGCCCACAGAAAGTCTCTCAGGAGTCTCAACTTATTTTTCTCACCAGTAGGTCCCAAAAGGGAAAAAGAAATGGATCCAATCCAATAGGGTCCAAGGGGCACTCGAGATCAAGGTCGGCGGGCTCCTTTTGCAGCTGCGAACTGCGGGGAGAACACCGTTAGATTTTGGCTACGTTAGCCTGCATGTGATGGCATCTTCGACCTGCAGCATAATGGTCGCATAATGGAGCCCCAGACCTCAGGCTCAGTTGGACGCACACTGTGAAATTCTGTCCACGTGTTGGGGACAGGAGATCCGTCGTCGTTGAGAAATGGAAGCCCACGGCGAACGAGGAAACGATAGTATGGTATTCGCACATATTACGCATATGGGTCCACGATAGGCAGGCAACCTAACGGCCTCGTTTTGATTGAAGACACCTTGAAAATTTGAACCGGCCTAGCGCACGGCATAGGGCCTCGTTAGACCCTCCTTGGAAAACCGCAAAATCGGAAATCGGTGTTGTTACACGGCGTCCTAAATCGCCAAATCCCTTGAATGAATGTGAAAACGCTCCCAAAAGATTTCCTTGGGTTCCTCAGAATCCCCAGCCAAAACGTCCTTGGATTCAAGGGGTCCTTGCGAGGTCCCTTGGGATAAAGGATCCGCGATAGACGGAGTGTTCTGGAGCTCGCGCCCACAAGAGAATTCGAAGTCGATATTTTCCGTTATAAACTTGTGCATAGTAACCGACAGGTCGTCCGTGGTCCATTGCGCGGACATCGCCAGCCTCCAGTACCCGACGCCCCGCCGACGACCTTTAGACCGTTACCGTTGGTGCGAAAATGTGTGGGGGCGGATCTTCAGCTGCGAGACGCTTCGTGGAGCGGGCTTTTGCGTACTCGCGTCGACGGCCTGCACGTCCAATGGTCGACTTTTTCAATTTTTTTACAAGCGGCGTTGAAGCACAACCGGCTGATTGCAGTCATACCCGTAGCTTGTTTTGTCAACTAGTGTAGCCCGCAGGGACGCAATCTTCGTTTGCTACACACGTTGTAGCGGACCTCGAGTTGGCCTGTGAGATCACAGGCCTGTGTTATATTCGGGGTAGGCCAGTCCAGGCCGGTACCTCTATCGGTACCAGCCAGTCCAGTCCAGTCCCGTCAGTCCGCTGGGGTATACCCCAGCCATTGTCTGTTTTCAGTCATTCCTCACTTGCACATTTTGGAGTACGTGCGTTGGAGTCTTGCGTGGGGAGCTGCGTTGTGCCATCTTGCTCCCCCTTCTTCCTCCATCTCCATCTCTGTCACTAGCGGAGCACCACACCTGGTGGGTCCGCTACATTGGTATCGGAGCGGGAACGGTCCTCGCCCCCACCCACCACACCGCACAGCAGGGAAATACGGCAAAACCCGACAGTCGGGTTTTCGGCTGTTTTTGGGGCGTTTTCGGGCAAAAAAGCGAAAAAAAGCGGGAAAAACAACGAAAAAAGGTGCTGCAGCATGAGAACTCCGCGTGGCGAAAAAGGAAACCGCATTACGACCCGTGCGCGGAAGCGCCAAGGCCGCCCCGCCCCGCTCCTGGATTCAACTGCTGCTGCTGGGGTTTGAACCCAAGCACTTGCCGAGCTATGCGCGTTCGTAAGCAACCTCATAACACACTCGCCACAGTGTATCCATAGCTTTGTAGCACGGCACACTCATGTTGAAGAGGTGTCGTGCTGGCTATTTACCCCCCCCCCCGGCAGCGAGCAGTGCGCCGCAGCGAAGTTGCTATTTACCTCCCCCCCCGTGGCTGTTGCTGCCTGTGCACGTGGCCATCTCCATGGCCATGTGGCTGAAGACCCCCCTGCTTAGGGGGCTGCTCTACAGTGGAGAGGGCCTGCTCACACAGCAAACCCTACATCTACACATCTGCAGAAGTGCTGTTGGGGGCTGATTAAGATCTCAGCCCCCTCTCTCCTCCAACTGACTGCTGCAACAAAGACCAAGACCCTCCTGGTCTTGGTGTACCTTGTGCCCTTGGAGACACCAAGGGCCAGGTATCACTCCCTTCTCCCCTCTCCCTCTACTAACCCACTTTCCTTACGTCTCCTCTCTCCTCTTACTCACCCCTTCTCTTTCCCCCACCTTCCACTGCATCTTTTCTCTTTGCTTCTTGATCCCTGTCCACCTTTCCCCATCCCTCCTCTCTCCCAACTACCACCACCCCATCCCCCTACCTCCCACTTCATCTTTTTCTCTCCCTCCACCTATTTCTTTCTCTTCTCCCTCACTTTTCATTCCCCTTCCCCCCTACTTCGAAAATTTCTCTGTTTTTCTTCTTTCCACCTCTCTTTTGATTTATCTTTTCTCTTTTTTCAAAAATTCGAAATATCTTCTTTCCCACCTTCTTTTCTCATTTTCTGATTTATTTAATTTATTTTTTTATTTATTCTGAAAAATTCGATTTTCTCTACGGCAACCCTAAATCTGATTAGTTGTTAGTTTTCTCATCTTCTTCCCCACCCTCTTTTCTTATTTTTTTGATTTATTTTATTTATTTTTACTTATTCTGAAAATTCTTGGCGGCAATCCTAAATCTGATTAGGTGTTAGCCTTTCTTGCTTTCGTCACACGTTTTGACGCCGTGGGGATAACGAAGTGCTGCCGAAATTTTATGATGTTCTCTTACTTAGTCTTTTCGGCACACTTCGACCCCATGGGGGTAACGAAATGCTGCCAATTTTTTTTAAAAATCAGATAACCCATTTTTCCCCACCTCCTCACACACTTATTTACTTATTTATTTATTTATTATTTCTTATTTATTTTCTGAAATTTATTTTTTATTTATTTATTTGTGGCATTTCTAGTGTGCACGCCTCGGTTTCTCCTTTTCCCTTGGTACATTCTTGACCCCGTGGGGGGTAGGGAAATGCTGCCGAAAATTTCAAAAAAATAAATATTGTTTCTCTTCACATCTTTTTACTTATTTCTTTAATTATTTTTATTATTTATCATTTATTTATTTTCTTATTTATTTTATTTCCTCTCGAAATCTCGCTGTTCATTTATTTTTTTCCCGTCTCCCCCCCCCCCCTATGCTTGCTATTTTACCTTCTTGATTAGGTCACCGGTACCCTACCCTAGCCTTAA